TCTTTCTGCTTGATCTCGGCCACTCGCCTCCTCTTTTCGTCGTACACAGCGCAGTTCCGTTGCGCGTACGATCCTTCTATCTGATATACCGTACGGGTGTTCTGCTTGTTACTCCACGACGAGGACGGCGACGACGATCCGTTGCCGTTGCCGATGTTTCCGGCGCTGACGTAGGCAAGACACTTGTTGTTGAGGATGTTCACGTGTTTCCTCACCGAGAATAGCGGATTCTCGGCGGTTTCACCGTCATACACCAGCCAAGAATCTCCCAGGCTCAATCTCTGATCCAAACAGCACCGAAACAACAAAATCAGTATCAACAGTCAATCAATCGATTAATCCACATAAAATGCACAATAATGATGTTAGCTAACAATATTGCGTCATACCTTGCGGCGGATAGTGAGGAGAGCCTTGCCGGCGGCATCCATGAGGAGAATCTCGCCTTTGTGCCCTTCCATGTAATTATCCACTCTAAAAACCAGATCTCCTTTGCTGTCAAACACCGTGAAACCGTTACAATTAAAAAGCAACGATTTCTTCCAGACGGTGAGGACCACCGGATCTTTTCCTTCATTGATCACTGACAACTTCGGCATCTCCGATGAGGCGTGGAGGGCGGTGGAGGCGTTGGGGTAAACCCTTGCCATCCGCGTGAATGGTTCCAGCAGGAAGGATTTAGGTGAACGGAAGAAGGAAAAAGCAATTTGCAGCTGCACTTGCGAGTTCGATGTGAATTAGGAATTCACACGTATGTCTATATATATAAGGCGAGAGAAAGGACCTAATTGTATAGGGGCCGGCGCCCAACGTACGGGCACGCCTCACCTACGGTGCAAAAGTCCAACCGGGACACGCAGGGCAGGGAAAACCAAGTATCGAATGATGTGAAAGGGCATCTTATACTCTTATAGGGAGGACTAAAGAAAATAAAAATAAGTGTAAAAAATAAAAGTCATCAACGAATTACAAGAAGTGATGATTGATAAATAAAAATTATTAAAGTTGGCCAAAAATTAAAAAAAAAATTAAAGATTTAACATTAATTTATTTTTTATATTCAATTGCATAATAGATAGACCTGACAAATGAGCAGGTGGAGTCAGGTTCTGGTTGGGTCGAGTCGGGTTCGAGTTGGGTCGACTCGGGTGACAAATTATACAAGTTATGTTATAAACGGATTGTGGGTTGAAAAAATTTAACTCTAATCCGACCCTAATGGGTTACGGGTTAATCTACGGGTTGATTTTATTTTTATTTTTTATAATTATTTTTTATTAATTTTATTATATATAAATAAAATTATATATATCTAAATCTAATTAAA